TTTACATTGGGGCACAATAAACCAACTCCTCTCTGCACCTATAATATATCTATATGATGTCAAGTGTTACATTTAGGTGCACAATACTGTCTTTCCTACAATTGCATTGCAAATACAATTTCCTATTTTCAATGCAAAGGAATAGTTGCACAAAATTGCCCTTAAGTATGGTAAGTACTTATTCTTATTTTACACCTAAGGGATTAGGTTCAAATTGAAGTAGCAGCTATGGCATGTAGGTCAATTTCAGTCCCTCATAATTATAGTGAAATTAAATCTGTGCGTGCTTGAAAGCTTTTATAATGACTTTTTTAAACAGCCCTGTTTCGCTGTAATTGAGGTATTTACTGTCTTGATTTATAATCGTCCCTCTTATCCTTACTGCGTAGGCTAACACTACAGATTTCATATATGTGCATATGTGTAGGCCAATCTCTCAACATCATGATTTACAGACCGAACCAGTGCACATATGAATTCCAATTAATCTGTGAGAGTTTAAAGAATCTGTCTGTGCCTGTAGTGTATTTTTCAAGCAGGCGGATAGAAGATGGAGATAGACAGTGACAGAGAGATAGACAGAGTCGGGGGGGGGGGCTGAGGATGAAGGAAGTCCTTGTCAACATTGCCTCACATCTCCGGCTCTGCGGCTCACAGTTTGAACAGGGAGGAGGGTAATAATGCAACAGCAGAGCTTTATCTTTTTCATAAGAAGGTGCAGCTCACGACTTACGGGAATAAGAGAACGATGAGCCAATCAGCTCTCACCGGTGAGGCGGGGAGGATGTCTCAGGTCAGTTACGCCTCCTAAGGCTGAGTAAAGCTCAGAGGGGAAGAACACATTGCCTCTGTAATGTGATCAAAACAGATGACACTCATTGGCTCATTATCATCTGTAGGTCACACACAAATGACTGGTCAATGGGTCTTTTCTTCTGACTGCTAAACATAGACAGTGTTTTAAAGTTGTTTTTTTCAGCCGGCTCTACTTTGGTGATGACTCACTTTTGAACTTAGACAGCCAGCTCAGAGAGAGTGACTCACCAACAGTCCATGCAAATACCCAACCCAAACCGTGTTGGACTCTGAATACTGTTTGCATGATGGGTATCTCCACGAGTGCAGGGAAATGTGTGGTCAACAAACAAGCAACATGAACAATAGGACAACACAGATCACTGTTGTGTCTATAGAACTGTCCAAAATGTAAACTTGTATCTAAGATTAAAAGGAGTTCAAAGTTGTACCTGTGCCTGAATTGCTTTTCTAAGCTGGCTCTGAGGTGCATAGCCTACTGGGTTTGTCGAAAAAGAGTTTGGACCTAGCAAACATTTAGCTTAGCATGACTAATCAGTTTTTCCGCTATCGGCCTCCTTGTCAATAATATATTAGGTAGTCTTTGCTCCAAAGAGCCTGAAACATGGCCAATACTAGCTGACAATGTGCCTAAATCAAGCTGATTTCTAAAGAACTTTATCCAATTTCCTCATATGGTTGGGACAGCGGCCACGTCTACTTCTCTGATCTGATAACAGCCATATGTAAATCGTCGCCTATCAGCCACTTCTGATTAAACAACAATTTGCTTACCCAAATTGAATGGCTCCAAACAAGGAAAAATCAGCAATGTGAATTAGTTGTTTCCATCAAATGTATACCAATCTTTATGCTAAGCTAACTGGCTGCTGGCTGTTGCCTTTTGTTCAACATGGTATCAATATTCTCTTATTTTCTCCAACTGGGGTCAATGGAACCAGGTTGTAAACACAATAATAACATATCATCACCTTCTAAATGTATAGCAAACAAACAGTTACATATTTACAGATCTAGCAGTTACAAAGCACCATTATAATAATTTTGTAGAATCTTTCTGTCTAACTTCTCGTTTGCTACTGAGCAGGGAGTGTTAAAGAAAGTGGCAACCATCATTGCAAAGAAGACCAAAATAGATTCTATCTTTGGTTTTCATTCAACGATTACCTGCCATGCCTTTTGCATCCATAATTGAATAAAAACTGAAAGATGAAGAAGACTGAACAAATGAAACATGCTTTACAGCTGAAATACTAGGAACATATGGAAATGCGGAAATTCTAAGCTGCATAGAACATGCTTAACAATGGCAGCCGACATGCAGAGTCAGATGTGGCATGTGGTTCTCAGAAAGAGAGGGGAAATGAATGGTGAGGTATTTAGCAGAAAACTACCTGTGGTCTACAACACACTGTAATCTTTTCAGGGAAATTGTATGCTGTGTGAGTACCTGCTGAAGAGAACCAGCATCACATCACAAGGACTACTGAAGACTGACACTCCACTTTGAAATGCCATTTTATTTTTAGGGCTCATTTCCTTTGATGGCCTCCTTCTATTATTATCTGATACCAAAATACACATTGGGACTTGCATGGAGCCACTGCAGGACTTTGAATTGGTTTATTTATGACTTGAAACGTGTCTGAGAATAACGACGGCCAATATGGCGCCCATTTGCATTTTAGTCCCCATCCAGTCATTCTAATCATAGCTGGTAAATTCACATTGTATTCACCTGACAGACACTGATGGGAACCAACCACCATGTTGCTTGCGGTGTCGTAAATCTATGTTTCGCTGCCGGTAGCGCCGTCTGACAAGAAGATTAGCGATGAGGCCAGAAGTCCCACAGGAGCGTCACTACTGATTAACCCCCCAACTCTTATCATTTCAGAGGAACAGATCCGTGATAGACCGTGATAGACTTCTGGCCACTATCTCCACTCAATGTCTACATTAACACACCAGAGCATCCTCTCAGTGGGATTCACACCAAAGATGACAGTGGCTAACATCCAGCTGTGAAGGTGGTTACTATAACTTCCAACTGATGCTTTAAGTAGTACATTTATCCTTAACTTAAGTCAGGGATATCAAAAGTGTTTTCAATGAGGGCCTCATACATTAAAATATACGAAAGGCTGGGCCACTCACTAGAGGTGAGATATATTGCCTCATAAATTAAGTGATAAGATATCTAATGTAGGTTCACATATGCTTGATACTTGAATATGCTTTCAGAAAACAAGCTCACAGCTTTTCATAGGGTTTCATTTATTTTATATAAGTTATTGAGCTTTTCTTTTATCAACAAGGGTTTGTTAGAAAATGTTTTAAACTTTAATTGACTGAATTTCTCTGAAAAGTGGGCTTATAAAAACATGGGCTTATAAAAACATGAATACTACTGTGTAATACATTTTTACAGTACAATATAAGAAAAGCACAAGTTTTAGGAGTGGGCCGTATTTCAATATACTTTTAGAATGTTCTTATGGGCCGCAGTTGGCCGGGAGCTGTAGTTTGGACACCCCTGACTTAAGTCAAAGTTCTGTTGATATTTTTGAAAAATACTCCAAGCTTTTAAGCAATTACAAATAAAAGTAACACATTTAGATGTTTTTACTTCAGTAAAAGTTAAGTATCACGAGTAATAGCACTTTGGAGACCAGCGGTTCTAAAGGCCAAAGCATGCAAGTCAATGTCTGCCTTGAGATTGTGTGACGCAATTTACAACTATACAAACAATTATGAATGGATTTTTTTATTTTTTAGGAAAGTCACATGCCCGACACTGCAGACATCTCACTGTCTGGCTACTTCAGTTTATTTAAAAATTATGTAGTTTCCAAATATTTTTGGATTTATTGTAGTTAGAATATATTAAATGAGTAATGTAGTTGTTTTATCTGGTTGTATTTGGCTTTATTGAATCAAAAGTTATACAGAGTGATACAATCATTTCTATTTTTCAGGATTATAGTTGTACTTTGTTGTACCTTTGGTATTTTTGCAGTACAGCTACATTTTTGTAGAGGAGCCTTGTGTCAAGTTTAAAAACTGAGTAAATGTAATTAAGTGGCAGCCATGATGAGAGCTAGTAAAATTCTATAAATGTTGTGAGAAGATGGTTCCATGCATCCTTTCTTTTCTCCTTTAGGGAACACTGGATCAGATCATCCTCTATCAATGGTAAGAAGATCATACTATCCCACAATGTACCAACAAGTCAATACCATCAGCTGCTGCTTAATAACCTACTGTAAGTACAGTTGGATTGTCATATGTTTCCTTGACCTCTTTTCCATCAATGTCAAAAGAAATGTGGCTTTGGTTTGGTGTGTTGATGATCAGGTCAGGTGACCAGGGAAGCACAGGTTCAATCTGAGCATGCCGTGTCTCCTTGGGCAAGACACTTCACCCTAAATGGCCCCTGTGCGTATATGTCCACAGTATTCAATGTATTACATGTCTAATATATGCAATATGTAATGTAAAGCGCTTTGAGCACTTGGAAAAGTGCTAATCATAATACAATGAATATATATTATTGTTATTATTTTTTTATTATTATTATGTATTTAAAAAAATGAGGATGTCATTTTTCTTAGTGAAGTACCAGTGGCCAATAACAAATGATTGCCCCAAGGCTTCCAAACACTTCAATATAGCCATGCTTCTGGGTAAATTATTTCATAACATTTAACATAAAGCTGTTTTATACATTATGTCAGATTAATGTGAGTGAGTCATTTCCTGTTCCTGCATGTGTGCATCTTTGGATGGATTAAGGTGGAATGAATGAATGAATAGGTTTCTATCACCTCAGTTTTAGAAAGTAGTAGAAAGTCAATTCCAGGAATGTTTTGAGATAGCGTTTTCCTGTTTGTATGCAACCCGCCCCACTTTTGTTGCTATCTGCCTTCCACCAGCCCTGTCTCCTCTTATCTCTTCATCTTCTCTGCGAGCGCTGCTTCTCTACAAAAGATGTCAAACAGGAAACTTGCTGAGAAATGGTATATACTTCTGACCTAGTAAATTCTAATTGTGTGTTTGTAACTGTTTTACATGTATGACATTTGGTTCTGTCTAAGTACTTTCTTTAACATGACTACTTGGAGCTACAGTACATGGCAAGGGTCACAACAACATTCTGTAAGATAATACAAAGGAGTCAAAAGTCATTGTTAAAAAAATATTTATTGAAATCGTATAAAAATTGTTTCTAAAATCATTTACAATTCTAGTTCGAATTGATGAAAAAAACAATCCAACCTGCAGTCTAGAAAACAAAAAGGTTTTCTCATTCTCACACACATTCAGAATTCACTCGCTCCCTCAGCAGACAACAGCGTAACAAAAACTGTTACCATCAGTAGACGTCCAATGTTCAGAGACATTAAGATGGAAGTGATTTTTGGGACTATTTACATGTTATATAGATGACATACACACAAACATCTGCTCTTTAAAAAATAATTCCATGCCATAAATATGGTCAGAAATAAAAAATCTTTGTTTATCTCTTTAAATAATACGTGGACCCTTCAGTGACTGTGGAATGAAATACACACAGCCAAAAAAATTCTCTCATAGATAAATAAATAAATTCTGTGTTCATTAAATGTTTAAGTCACGGCAATAATAAATATCGTTATTATTATTTACAATGCTTGTCCCCACTGAATATTTAAGTGTGAGGCACTGTTTGAACGTTAACATTTTTTTGAAGTGAAGAGCAGAGGATGTTGTGTTTTTGTATGGTTGCATTGTGGTGTGCATTCAGGTGGATTTGAACCGCCTCAGAGGAAGTGGAGTTGTAGACAGGAGGTGGATATGTAGTAAAAAGAAGGAGGTAAGTCCAGTGTTTCTTTTTTTTGTTTGCACACGTTGCTATGAGGTTGCTAATCACATGGGAGTGATAGCAGTGGTTGTAAATGACATAGGCTTTGCTGATCTAGGCCCATGAGAGGGAAACAATATAAAGCCTTGTAAGGTGCTAAAAAAAAAGGTCTCAGACAAGGAGCCTTTTTTTGCTTTCAAGTATTTTCAGGGTCCCCCCAACAATCTCACAGAAGGCACTTCTTTTTTATTCCTCTTGCACCTCTGCTCATCCCAGAGAGATGCAGCAGTGCAGCGAGAGGTTACATAACGCAGCCATTCAGCGAGCGCATGTACTGTCAGCGCAGAGCAGGCCCTACTACAGTCTGATAAACACCCAACAGCGGGGGGAAATCAAGTAGTTTGGGGTGATGAGGGGCAGAGAGCGCTCCAGGTTGAAAACAAGCCATGATTGTGTAGTCATGACCTTAGTTTTCTTTTAGTCCTTTGACACCTTACTCGTGCCTGTGTCAGGACGGCCAGCCCATGCAGCGCCCCGCCCCTCCTCTCTGCTTCAAGTCTGTTACTTTAGTAAAAGTCTCAGTTCAGTACAGTCCTGTTTGCCTCCATCACCGAGCCGCGGGTACGGGAGTTGGCGTGAAGGCGGTGGGCTCGTGGGCGATGCTGTGCAGCCGGATCTCCGCCTTCTCCGTCTGCATTGTGGACGGGATGACTGAAGAGGATGTGCTCTGCATCCACGAGTGATCGATGATGTCCTCGAAGGAGGGGCGATCGGCGGGCCGCAGAGAAAGACACCACTTGATCAGCTGCTGGCATTCTGAAGGAGGAAGAGGAGGAGAAGTAAGTATGCTGCAATAAACTGAGAGTGACACATCATGTGAATGTCAACGAAAATGCTGATGCATGTTTTGGAATGTGAATTTACCTGTTGAGATTCTTCTCCGGAAGAGGACCTGCCCTCTTGTGATCTCCTCATCGTGTTCAAATGGAATGTCCCCACACACCATGTCGTACAGCAGGACACCCAGAGACCAAACTGTGGCAGAGCGCCCGTGATAGCGGTGATATTTGATCCACTCTGGTGGGCTGTACACTCTTGTGCCTGTCAGAAAAAACACCTTTAAAAACTGTACAAATGCCCACGTATTAGCTAAGCACTCCAGAATCTATTATTGTATTTCAGTCAAATTGAAAATGAAAGCATTGCAGGTGTGGTTGAATTATTAACTAAGAGTGCAGCGTTATCTGTTGTTTGGGAGGCTGTTATCTGGGCTCAGGTGGCAGAGAGCGTGACAGTCTGTGTGTGTGAGAGAGCAGAGTGTGTGTGGGACAGGGGGAGCGGACATGTGACTTTGTTTACAAACGTTGAGTTGTAAAAATGCAGCTTCCCTCCTATGGGGGGCGCCAAAGCAAAGGCAATGCTGCTCAGCCTGAATTAATATGCTGCTTTGGAGGGGGGATGTCAGAAATGACACAACCTTGGAATTCCTGCCACTGACTAAACCAGGGCTACTGGATGATGTTGAAACTAATAAAATAAAATAAACACGTCGAAGACTGTTTTGAGCTGTGATGACTCACCATCAAAGTCTGTGTAAATGGTGTCTTTCAGCAGGGCTCCGGACCCAAAGTCGATGAGCTTGATCTCCCCGGTGCGGAGGTCGATTAGGATGTTTTCATCCTTGATGTCGCGGTGCACCACGCCGCTGTTGTGGCAGTGGCGCACGGCCTCTAGCAGCTGGCCTCTCCATTACGATGATGAAGCTGTCCGGTCGCTCGTACCAGTCCAGCATTTTGATAACGCCGCTGAAGCCCGAGCTCACTTTCTTCAACAGCACGATCTCCATTGGGACCCGCGAGCCATTAGGCTGAAGAGATAATAATAATAACATAAGCACTTCGAACACCAAAGGCAAAAATAATGCTATAATACTTTGAATATTTCACTTAATTGTCCATTATTAAAGCAATATACTACTATTGTGTATATGTTACTGGCCTCAGGCCTAGGGGTACCTGGGCCAGCAGCAGACTCTACCTCTGTATATGAGAAACACACGAGGCAGAAATGTTAGCTGTTTGTAGCTCAACTGCAGGATTTTAATTACTTCTAAAGAGAATAGAAATATGGAGGTGACACTTTTTTAACTTAACTTGTTTTGTTAACAATGAACTGGTTTAACCCTTTACATATAGTAGCCTATACTAATTAGGTGAATATTAGCGCTAATATGATTTCTTACCAGCTCTCCCCACTCGGAGACTCTGTCCTTGCCTACGTGTTTGACAGCAACCTAGAAGGGGGCAAAGAAGACACCGCGTCAAATAACATGTACAAAAAGCATATAAACATGCAAAGCAGCTAGTTTAAAGTGTATTCTTATAATAAGACATATAAGGCGTATTTACCGGAGCTCCGTCAGCCACCCTCGTACCGGTGTAGACGGTGCCGAAGCCCCCGCTACCCAGCACCGCGCCGACCTGATACAGCTTCTCGAAGGGCTCCTTCTCCTTCCCTGTGGACAAAACATAAACACAGCCCTTGAATACCCGGGAAACTAAGCTCTCAAAATACTAGTGCATACACCCAAAAAAAACAGCTGTTTAGAAATATCAAAAAGCAATAATACTGATAATACGTTGTTAATACATAATAGTATGCTCAAAAACAACTGCCGTGCTTGAAAATAATCAAATATAACACGTAAGGATAAGCTACGATAAGCGGGCTGCCGGCCATTGCTGCAGCCCCGTGCTCAATGACAACACCGAGGAGAAAAAGAAGGGCGTCTAACCTTGATGAACTTGGTGCTGCATTTTCGCCGGCATGTCTACGGTGGAGATGTGGGCAAGAGAATTCAGCTTGGACAGAAGCATTCTTTTAAGGATATATCCACCAGTGGTTTACGACGTGTTTGTGTTCTTCGTTTTAGTTCGTTTCAGCAATATTATTCCGTTTGTATGACTCTCCAGTCTCCCGTGTAGAGCTCAGAGTCCACGTTGCTGGAACAAAAATGCAGTAAGGGTCCTCTCATCCAGATGAAAGAAAAGCCGCTTGTGAATCCAGGAAAATATAACCGAAAATGTCGTCCCACCTAGAGTATGTATAACTGAATTCACAATAAAATCTACTGCAAAACACAGCTGTTCCTCGCACTGTTTTGTAAACAGTTATAGGATATAAACACATAAACACAGTGTATGAGAAATGTCTCTGTCAGACGCCGGCTCTTGGAAACAACTAGTGAGGGGGGAGGACGGTTATAAACCAGTAGTAAGAGGGCGATGCCACATGCACTGACGTCAATGTTTCTCCGCCCCTTTCCGCTGTCTGCACCAATAGGAATGTGAAAACGCAGTCCAAATGCACGTCAATCACATAATGGAAATACAGCCAACCTTATAACCGACTGGGCCAGACACAGACGTGGCGGGAATAAAAACGCGCGAGAAAATAAAGAAAAAGGGGGGTGGTGATACTTAAATTGTGAATATGAATTCAAGTTGGAGAGAAATGCTAATTCGCAGCCAAGTGCCCCCCAAGCTGTCTCCTCCCTTTTGAGGGAGACTCAAATAAAAGTATGATCATAGGCCTACTATTATTAATAATAGACTTCACAAAACAATAGGAGTGTATTGTTCTAAGGAGAAACTAGATTCTTATTCTATTTTTAGAATATACCGTTTCACTTTATCGCAGTCCCCTATTACCTTGCTTTGTAATTGTCTACTTTTCTCCACGTGTTGTGTCTGCACTTAAGAAAAGAAGCATAGGCTACTGTTTCTGTTAGTTGCACTAAAGCACCCACATGGCTTAATAAAGCCATTTTGCACGATGAGTCACACACACAACCTGAGAGAAGTTCATAAAAATTGCATTCCAGCTATTCTAACCCCCTGCCATTTACCTGATTATTTTCACATTAAACACTGAGGTTTATTGGCTAAAGTGAAGTCCAGGACTATGCTCTTTATTTGAGTTGCCTGAATGCCTCTCTGCACATCAAAGCGCGACGCGGAGAATAGGCGCATTCCTGTCATTCTTTCAGATTGGGTGGCCCGTATGCAGTCGTTCACAGGATGTGGGAAACTAGAGATAAAAAGACTTCCATTTAGCCCCCCTTTTTTACCCTCCTCCCCTCTCTGCTCCTCCTCTCTCCGCCCTTCTTTTCCCGCGCATGTTATTGTCGGAATGGCATGGTTCTCCCTCTCCCCCATGACTGAGTTAAGTTTTGTTTTCCTTTGAGATTTCATGGCAAGTTGTAAAACCATCTTATTGCTGATAAATTGTACAAGTTTGTAATGTGTCCAACCAATCAAACTGCACGAACATCTGGAATTCATAAGCAATCTTTAATTGTTATGATCAACTTCACAAGTTCGGAAAACTTCACTATTTTTAATATTAAAGACAAATTAATCTAATCTTCCAATCATTTTGTATGCATGTTCAAGCAACCCTTTATTTAATTTATATTATGTTAAATGGGCCACAATGTGGAGATCTGCAAACCAAAACAAAAATATATAACCCACACGGTCTTGTTCATACAGGCTAGTGAACTATTGCTCAAGTGAGCCCCTCTGTCTGGAATGAAAATTGGAGCATACTTTCCTGACGCCTTTGGCAAATTCCTTTAAAAGCCTACTTCTGAAGTTTTTGAAGACAATATGCAAATTAAGGTGTTGGCACTATGTGAGTGTCAATATTCACTTTTGACAGAGTTAAGCACATCCTGTTTTTCTAGTTTCTTATGTGTGTGTAAACATTTAGCAGAGCCTCTTTTTTGTAGCCTCTTATTGATTTTATAGAAGCTTGATGTTAGAAATCATTTTTTTCCCACAGTGTGGGGGTGGGGGGGAAGTAATAATAATAATGTACAATGTTACAGCAATAGGTCAAATGCAGATAAAAAAGCAAAATAAAATGAGTGGATTTAAGGCCCTGGCACACCAAGCAGTCACCAGAGAACTCGTCGGCGTGTTCCCCTGCGTCTTGGCCATGTGTCGCACTGGAACACACCGCAAAGACTTCAGCCGAGCACGTACGAACTGCGCATGCGTGAGTGGCAATAACTTTCCTTACCAGCAGGCGGCGTTAGTGTGTATTCGTCATTCAAAAGAGGCAACAACCAGAAGACAGAGAAGAAGAACAGACTACGTGATATAAACAAACAACAAATGGCGTGTGCGTTCCATTTTCACTCTCGCCCATCAAAAACATGTTATGTGCGGTAATGGAGCTATCAGCCATTGGAGTGTTGCTTGTGGAAGACATTCTCAAGCAACCGTTTCACTTCTCATGCATTGATTCGCTAGCTGAAGAGCCAATCAGAGTGATTTCTTTGTCCGATTGCCTGTGGCCGTGCGTCGGCCATGAAAGGCCAAATGAGGCGTGTCACGGCCGACGGTGCGGGAGACACCAAATTGAGTTTGGGCGACAGGGCACGCTTCGTCGTCCCACTAACGAAAAATGGCCGATTTCGGCCTGGTGTGTCCGGGCCTTTACATAAAATATAGAAACAAGCAAACGTAACAAAACAAATAGATACCAGAATTTAAATTAAATAAGCACATCCAAGGCAATACATACATTAAAACTAATATAACATAAATAGTATATGTATTTATTATAAGAAATATGTAGCATATAGTGAATAAAAGTACAGAGAATTAGCAGCTGTTATAATAAGATTAAAAAAAGTATTATTGCAAATGTTATTCACAACAATGTGAAAACAATATTACATTATAAAAAAAGAAGAAGTAAATATTGCACTTAAAGAGCTTGTGACAGCCTCCCAACAACTGTTGTGCAATTAAATATTGGGCTACTAGTAATCTCGAACCGTCATCTTAAAGAAGAAGGTGCGAAACCGTTCCGATAAATATCAATAATTTCGAACATCGCAGGGAAATTCCATCGAATCATTTTGAAGTTTTGGGGGAAGCCGGAAGTGACGTCAATGCGGGAATGCTTCACTGTGCGGCGAGAGAGCCAA